ATAATACTGCAAGATTAATCTGAAATCCTGATGACGTCACAATGCTACTGAAGTTATTATGACATCATCATGTCTAAATTTGTGCTGGAAATCAAAATTGCAAAAAATTTTGAGGGTTGATAGCAAAAACTATACCCCGAGGTATAGCTCTGCTATGCGTGGACTATAAAAGATAGCTATTTTACCTTCTGAACTTTAGATAAGAAACATTTTAACAGAAGTATAATAAATTGTGAATAACTCCCTAAAATTTAAAATTTATAATTTCCCGTGTGATAGGTATACACTGTATGAGCTAATCCCTCTTCGGAACCTAATTCCCGGTTATCTGTATAATCCTCTAGATTTTACTTTTGTATCGGTTAATTAATGCAAATTCGAATCCCCACCATTCGTAATCCTCTATTTGTATAAATTTTAAAAAAAAAACGTTAAAAAGATATATTGAGGGTTGGGCAAACCAGTTTCCCTCAAAAAGAATTTCCGGGCGGAAATTGGCCCTGATCTTAGGGAATTTTACTGGAATATTGCTAACTTTCAACGATATACTTTAACTGTATAGTAATTAAAAAAATAAAAAAATATATATTATTTCAAAGAAGGTTTAATATAATTTAAAAAATTCTGTAAAAAAAGGGGAAATATTTTCACCTAAATTAACAGGGATGTATAGTAAAAAAATTTTATTCATACTTCCGCATGTGCTGCATTAATATAGTAAAGATTATTTCATGTGCAAGGCTAATGCTTCCTGAACAGACATGTTTTTAAAAGTTTTCATATACTGTTAGGAATAATTAATTGCATAGCGTACGGTATGTACATAATTATCTGCCTGCTAAATTGTGTTTCATTGTTTGTTAAATCCCGTCATGGCATCAAATACAATTCCATCTTCGGAAAATAGATTAAACTAAATCGTATTTATTGTTTGTTAAATCCCTCATTAAAATAATTAAAATAAACGACAGTTTTAGTTTCTAATTGTATTGATCAACTTCGAAAAACCCTTTCCTGGAAGATAAAAACTATACTGGCTGTTAAAATGAATGTCATTTCAAAGAATTGCCGGGATTTTTTACTTATTTTCAAAAAAGCATTTCAACGGAAGTCGCTATGAAAATGGTATACTAAAGATTCTGACCTTTATAAGACATATTTTTTAAATTTCATAATTTTTTTCGTCCTTGTGTTTTAAAACTGTGCTACTTTTATGCCTAGGTCACATTTCCCGGCTGGTGGCAGTAGACCGGTTGTAATCGGTGGAATCCTTGGTGTGAGCGATGCCTAAACATCGGTCCACATCGGAATAGTAGTCCTTAAAGTACGAGGGTTGTCCCATAAAATCGTGGACAAAGCTTTTTTTCGAAAAGAAGGGCGCACTAAGCTGAAATTTTCAGTAAATGTTTATTATTCTATTTAAGTGAATCTTAATGTTTTTGATAATATATATTCAAAAATAAAGATTTTATTCTGCTTGAATGTGCACAAGGTACGGGCCTAGGGCACGGTAAAAATAGCAAGGTTATATTGTGAAACATAAAAATTAATTCGTAATAAAAGTTTTCAATAAAAATTAGGATGAAAATTATTAATTCCATTCCTTAATCAATTCTGTCGTCTTTTTAAAAATTTCAAAGCATTTGGTTAATTTTTGGCAGTTTCCCCAGCATTTCAAATGGGAAAGTAATAAACACAATACACGAAAAATGACGACTTTTTATGACGTTACGGCGCACCGGAGAGCAGTTCAGATAGATTAGGATGTTGTAATGACGCCTTAAGAGACTATAAATGAATACAGAAGAAAGAAAATATAAAAATATCACCAGATCTTTAGTAAAAAGATAAAAATTTTTTTAGTGAAGCTTTCGTGGTCGAGTCTCCAGATTTTAAAAAATATGGAAGACTGCCATTTGTAATAGCAAAGGACCTGTCACTGTCGACCGTCGATGTGGTTCTTTTTTAGTTGAATGATTAAATACTGTCTGTAATTGCTAATAAATATTCAGAAGATCGCATGAGTGTGCCACAGTGGTTTCTTAAATGGTTATAGATACTCACATATGTAAATCAATAAAAATTCTAAATTTAAGGGGGTTATCCAAATTTAAGTTTAGCAAAAAAAAAACGTGACGCTGTTTTAGACACTTTGACGTTATCATCCGTGCGCCATAGGGCGATACAATACATAAATAAAATATCACAATTTGTTTACCTATGCTTTTATTTATTTGATTATATTTATAATTTATCTCTAAAAAGTGGTGAAAATTTCAGAACGCAGTGATGTTATTTTTTAAACTAGACAACTTGTCCACGATTTTACGGGACAACCCTCGTATAAGTCACATTATCCAGTGATGGGCTATACGATGGGGGAACCAATGCGATTTTTAATAAAAATGGCTTTCCCCCCGGTTACAAGGCCAGCGATGCATTGCTAATCATAAAACATGTTAAGGATAATGGGCCCATGTATATTACATCGCTAATACATTGGTGAACATGTTCGTACATCGGTCGACCACGGGCCACTGTTTGCTCGAACATCGACCGATGATCGGTCGTTATCAGTTGAACACCACTCAACTCTCCCATGACCTCAGATTCAACGGATATTGAACGATGCTGGCCATACATCGGCCGTTCCTTAAAATTTTTTTTTAATTTTGGGTTGCCGATGAGGAGCGATGTGAGGCATCGTTAGTGACATCGCTGAATTTTAACTACGAATTTTTTCCCACCGATGACCCCAACAATCGCAAAATTGCCTCAGACACCGTCCGATCACTAGTGGCGTCCGGCCAAAGCCATTTTCATCAAAAAACGCATCGGTTTCTCATAAAAAACCCATCGCTGGATAATGTGACTTATACTTAATCGGTGGTAAATCCTAGTGTAACATCCCCAACATCGGTCCACATCGGCCTAGAGCCCTTAAAGAATCAGTCACATTATCCAGCGATGGATATACGATGGGCAAAATCGTTTTATAAAAAATAGCTGGTTGGCGATTTACAAAGGCCCGCGAAGCATTGCTATTTAAACAAATTTTCGGAAATTGGCCATTAATTACATCGCTCCCCTTTTGGTAAGCTGTTGAACATGGGTTACAGGCCAATGTTGGTCGAACATCAAATGATCGGCCTTTTCTGTTGAACACCACCCAACCCCCGTGACCTCAGATTCAACGGACAATTGACGATGCTCGGCCATACATCAGCCGATCCGTGTAAATGTTTAATGATGGGTTGCCGATGAGGAGCGATGTGAGGCATGTTGGAGACATCCTTAATTTTAACTACGAATTATTTCCTACCGATGACCCCACCGATTCGCAAAATGGCCCAAGTCACCGTCCGATCATTGTGGTGCCCGGCCGGCAACCACGCCATTTTCCCCAAAAAACCATCAGTTTCTCATCGTATCCCCCATCGTTGGATAATGTGACTGATACTTTACTAATACATAAAAAAATTCATAATTATTTCCATATTCATTTGTTAGGTCTTGTCAATATTCATGGTAGCTCAAATAAAGGATTATTTTTTCAGTGAATTAAAATTTATGAAATTAAAAATAATGTTGATTACATGCAAGTTTTAAATTGCCTAATGTCGTATGAAAACCACCAAAGTTGAAAGTAAATTCTTTAAGATGATAATTAGATGGTAGCAATGTTTGATAAGGTATCACAAATTAGGGGAGGTAAAAATTCCTTTGGAAGGTAAGAAGTAATAAATTTTGGTATATGCACGTAGAAAATTTTTCATTGCATTACATAAGCGCACTTCATGCGTCTTTGTGTTATTTAAAAAAAAATGTTTTAATCATGTTAAAGCCAACAAGAAATTAAAAATATGTAACTTAAGAAAAACCTTTGCCAAGGTTTATAAATTAAAATTATTGAATACTAATTTGAAAAGAAAAATATGTCAGTGTATACTTTTTTGCTTATTTCAATGTTTTTAGAAACAAAGTAAGGACACTCATTGGTTGAATACACATTTTTATGTAACAACAGTTGATGGAAGTAATTTTTCTAATTCGTGTTCATGAATCATATTTCTGTAAGTACAAATTGGAATTTTTTTTGTGATATATGTTTTTTGGTATAAATTTTTTTAACAGACAATTTGTCTAGAGGAAAGTCAACTAAGTATGAAACCTGGTACTGTATGGAAAAATTGCATTTTATTACATCACAAAACGCCGTCGATGTAACAGGGATAGTTGCATGCGTACAAAAACAATAAACAAAAATATTTAATTTTGGTAATTGGGCCTTGGTGAAATGAAGAGCATATACAGCATTCAAATTTTTTTCAAATCTTATGATGGATATAGTACGAATTTTACATAAACTTTTTTTTTGAAATAATGTTAGCTGTATAACATAGCTATTTTGTACATCTTAAGAGAAAAAGAACGGAAACATTTCCATTTTAAAATTTACGAGAAAAAGAATGGAATGATATTTTATCAACATTTAATTAGCTATAAGAAAACCCTATAAATAATTTATAAAGGTCAATTAGATTAACTTACATGTGTAACTACATGTATGTTTTGTCATAAAAAAAACACCACTATGTTGTTCAATCTAACCTTATACGTATGTTTCTTCAATATATTATAGTTACACGTCAAAGACCAAATTTGCAGGGTTTTCATTATATCTTTCAAACTCAACAAGAAAAGAGAATGGTTATCGTTGTTATATAGATGGTCCAGAGTTACCACCCTTATTTTTAAAACCAGGGGTATAGGTCATGCGCGTACTAATTTTTAACAAAGTTTGGATGGACAGTTTCTACTGGATATCCAGGTGGCTACCCTAAAGGGTTTTTAACAATCCGCTGTTACTGAATTATGTGACGTAGAGGTTCAAGGTATATATAAGTTTATGTCAGTTCTTTAATTTTACTTTCTTGTGAAATATTTACAGAACTATTGAAGATTTATTTTAATTAAGTTTTTGGTTTACTTTTTGTCAGGCTGTAAAGAACGTGGTATGTTTGGTAAAAACTGTAGTCTACGATGTCCTGAAGCATGTCAAGAAAATAGATGTCATATCCTGGACGGAACTTGTCTAGGATGTAAGCCTGGATGGGTAGGGGATCACTGTGATAAAGGTATTTAATCAAAATCATTGGTATCTGGATTTATGTATTTTTTGAAAAAAAAATTTGATTTCTATGTACTGTTTGATTTATAGCTTGTCCGATTAAGCAGTATGGACTTGATTGCAATAAGACCTTTGCTGGATATTGTAAAGACAATAACACCTATGATCACGCAACAGGTCAATGCAAGGACGGATGTGCTTATGGATGGACAGGAGCGCATTGTGATGAGAGTAAGATGAAATTAAAAAACACAATTATATATTTTAAAAAAAAAAAATTGCGCTCTAGCGTGTTCTGCAAAATTTTTTCGTAAATATGTTTTATAAAGCATTTTAATCATGGAAATCTCTGATATTTTTGTTTTTATTTGCTTCAAATATGATTTTTAACCTTCTCTTTGGGAAAAATAAAAACTAAGAAAATTGAAATGAAATATTTGAATATGAAGTCATATAATCAAACATGTTTTAAAGGATGCCTTGATGGGGCATATGGTAGTAACTGCATTTATAACTGCACGGGGAATTGTCTAAATGAAATTCCGTGCAACAAAATCTCAGGAAAGTGTGATACTGGGTGCAAACCGGGCTATACCAATGATAAATGCGACAAAGGTAAGTTATTGAACACACAGAAAAATATATTGCTCTGTCACGTTTAGCTGCAGTTTTCATGTGCAAGAAATCCGCTAGTTGACTTTCGAAAGAAGCACTGACTTTTACGGAGTACTTACACTGACATTTTGACATTTAACCCGTGCCATATACGGAGTTCGGTATTGAAAATATATATTAAATAGATTAGAAAACCTTTCTAGTGGCGTGGTTGCTTGATTTACAGGTATGCAATCAACACAAGAGATTATGAAAGACAGAACAACGTAATTAAAATATATTTGAGAAATAAAGTCCGCGTTTTCGTGAATGTTGCAGGATAACCTCCGGGGTCGAGAAATGTTGTTTGAAAGATAAACCCCGAGGCTTTTATATTTCAAACAACAATTTGAGACCGATGAGGTTATTCTGCATCATTACATAACAGCGACTTTATTTCTATTCCACCATGTCTACTAAATTGCTAAAATACGGCTGATCGTTTCCTCTATAAAGAAACGAATAAGGCTACAATGTCTCGATTACGCTGTTCCATTTAACATCAGAGGGAAAATTTGTTTGTTTTCCTTTGTATAAAATCCAGAAGATTTGAACTTTCGTTGCATTAAAAAAAACCTTTTTGAACTACAAATTTGATCGTACATGTAATATGTAAATATGTATTGATTAAATTTAATGAATAAACAATAACAAAACCATGTTCATGTTTTACTGCTCTATATATTAGGACTAAAATCCAATATTTGACATAAACGAATTAAATGTGTTGGGAGGTCCATGGAATATATGATTAGTTTTAATGAATATACAAGAACAAAATCATGTTCCTATTTTACTGCTCTATTGGGACTAAAATCATGTGTTTAAATGTGTAGGGAGGTCTGTGGAATAGCCCCGCTTAGCTATAACAACCGACATTCATCAACTTGATGCAATTTACAGTGTTTATACTACAAAAGACGACACTTCGATGTGGTGTAAACATTTATTAAGTATATCATGCTACAGCCAAATATGCATTTGCATTGTTCAGGTTTGATACGTGTTTCTGATCTGATAATTTTTCGTTCGTGATTTATTGGAGAATGATGTCTGTGGCTTTTTTTATCTTGGCAAAAATTGTGGTGAAATTATTAATAATTCATTTTGTTATTTCGAATAAGTGATATCACCTTTTCGAATAGGTGATATCACGAATTCAAATCACATAGGTGATATCAACTATTTGAAAAGGTGATATCACTTATTCGAATAGGTGATATCACCTATTCAAAATCTGAATAGGTGATATCACGTGTTCGAATAGATGATATCACCAACTAAATATATGATACATGTATCATTTATTCGAATGGGAGATATCACTTTTGGTAGTAAATACCAAAACGGCGCCCCATACTTTTTATTTTGAAACTAGAGGTACTTTGAGCAATGAGCTCACTAAATGATACCCCCGCCTCCCATATGGTTATAATTAGAAAGACAGACGGACGGACATACCGATTACAATATACCCTCCAAGGGAGTATAATTATTTAAAAATTTAAATATAGATACAGGCTCGGTCGCTATCACTTTCTGTGTTTTCGGTCAATATCAATTGCCATGAGTCCTTATAGCCATATATCGACCTACACTGAAGTCCATAATTGTCCATATGCAAAAGTTATGACCGAGGTTAAACTGTTTGATTTTGAGGTTGTGAATGCCTTTATCCAAATAAAATAATCCACATAAAGACGAAAATTCAACTCATTTTTTAAATGTCTATTTCTGGCATTAATACCTAATTAAAATGAAGAATTAAAAGATTAAATGATCATTTTAATTTTCTTTTCTGCATTCGGAAGTAAATATGAAACTAGATGCTGTCATGAGACAGTATTACCCTCACTAAGGTGTTTGCCTCTAAATGCACACTCCTTCAAATTGGGCTTTACCAAGGAAAAGCTTAAGTCAATATAATTCAATTACATGTATTTACATAAAACAATGTATTCATCAAATTGAGCATAATATGCTCAGGTGACCATGTGACCCATGGGCCTCGATCTTAATACAGTACATGTAGGTATTTCATATTCTTAATTCCTTACCAGTTTGAATTAAACAACAGAATTTAAGGCCAAAAAAAAATTAATAAATTGTTTCTCAGGCACCGCCGCATCAGTTCAAAAACGGCCGCATTGATCAATTTTATTGACATATGAAAAAGGGAAATAACCCAATTTTCTATTTTTCCAAGTTGAAAAAGAAAATCGAGTTATTGCCCTTTTTATAAATGCTAAGATAGACATTTTTATTAGAAAAATTATATCTTTCTTCTAAATCTACAGTATTTTATAAGTTAACTTTTAAATGAATGTTTGGAATAACATTATTTAAAGTTGAATATATATTATAACTAATTTTAGAGAACAAAACTTAAGAGTTAGTAGATATCATCATTTTATTGAACAAATGACTTTAGAAAAAAGGTGTAGACTACATCCTGCTTCAAAAAAAAAAAAAAAAAGAAAAAAAAAAAGCCTGCCTGCCGCATTGAATTTTTAATTTTTTGGCCTGAGAAACAATTTATTAATTTTTTTTTGCCTAATTAATGATGTAAATTAGGTTTGATAAAGGAAAGATATAATTTTTTGGCCCATAATTGGGATTTTTTAAATCTATATTCTCATACAAATCAACAACAAATAATATTTTTTCAAATTAGTATAAAGCGTTTTTGATGAATTTTTAAAAATGTACAAACTTTTTTTTTATATTTGATTAGGCAGAAACTCCTTGATAGCTGCCATATACCGAATTAATTTAGTCAAACCCCACCCCTCTCCCATCAACACACACAACACATACCCTATTTGCCTGTTTTTGGAAATAGGCCTAGAATGGCAAAGTTAAGGTAAAACATCTTTTGTAAATGATAATTTTAAAATTTGTTCTTGTACTTTACATGAATCTGAACACCTGCATCGATTGGGCTTGCGTCACCTACCCAACTTAAGTACTAGTTTTACCATTATCATTTTTAGATTGCACTGCACGTGCAGTACTAGTGTGGTGTACATGTATTTCAGTAGGAATTATTTCATTTTGTGTTTTAATTGGATTATATTTCATGAAGTAGACAGGACCTATGACAGTCGGTAAGTACAAGTTTAAGTATAGATTTGGGTAAAATAGTCTGAAATGCAACTGGTTAGGTTAAGTTTAAAGGATCAAAGGTCATCCTATGCTGCAATGAGACGAAATTCACATTCTGAAGAGTTATCCCTCGTTATCGATATTACATTCAATTACAAGATACAGATTTTTTTGGGGGGTGGGGGGTGGGGGTGGGGAAGGGGATTTTTAACCTGTTAAGACCTTATTTTTTCCTGTTTTCTAGAGTGGATGGCATTCAAAGTCATTTTTATTTGCTTCAGTATATATATTATAGTCCTGCAAATTCCGGAGGGGGGGGGGAGGGGGATCTCCCAATCCACTCCCTGTCCCTGTAATGACAAATTGACAAATGATCATGTGCCTCCTAAATAGTAGGAAACATTTTTCCATTTAACTTTACATAATTTTGTTTCCTGTATTATTATGTTATGTAAATTTAATGGTATAAAGGTTATGAACCCTTGGAGGTCATCCCCACTCTCCTAATGAACTGGAAATGTTCACAATATGACTGCATTAAATTTAGTAAAAGTGCATCAATGATAAGATTGCTTGACATTTTATTCATGAATTTGTGTCAACCTGTCCTCCTAGAATTAGAAATGAAAATCATTCAAAGAGATGGACCACGTTGTACACTGTTGTATATATTAACATTTTTTTAAAATGTAAAAACAAGTAGTAGTTTGCATACATGAATAAACAGGGTCTGGGAAGGAGTGAGGGGAAGGATCGAGTTCATATCTCTTTACAGCTTAATGTCCTCATTATATTTCTAGTGGTGGTGGCTCCATATGAGTGAAAAATTCCTGAGAGGGATGTTTAAACACAAACAAACAATTGACATAAAAACACAATATTGATTTGCATTATGAGATATGCAGGGGATTTTTTCCATCATCAATCTTCTTTTCAAGAACAGCAAGAGCATTATTGTCCCCCGTTTTTGGGAAAGGGAGGGGACATTAAATCGCATTTGTCTGTCAGTCTGTCCATTTTATTGACAGTATGTGCATCTGTCACAATAAATTTAAACTTGGTCATAACTTTTGAATAATAAGAGATGGGGCTTTCATATTTCACATGTACATTACCACAAAACTTTCTAATTATACTATGATTTTTAACCCAAGTGAGACCTTGACCTTAAAGTTTTACCTACTTTCCAAAAAATAACATTTTAAATTGATCATTTTGAAAGAGAGAAGACAGGGCATTCAAATTATAGACGTATATTACATGTGAAAAGCTTTTGATTGAAAAGAGACAGAACATTCATATTTGACATGTACATTACCTGCAACAACATATTTCCTACCATGCTATGACTTTTCCCCTTTGACCTAATTTTCATAAATTGACATATGATAGGGGTGCATATTTGACACACAATCTGCTATAAAATATGGCATCCCATTCACTTCATTACATAAAGTAGAGGATCACAATTCTTTGTATTTGCTTGTATAATCTTGTTATGGATACATCCTCATATAATGTAGATTCAAGTTTTTTATGCCACGCCATGATTAGGAATACATGTATAGTTTTTGTCATGTCTGTCCTCCACCCTTTCATCTGTCTTTCCATGGGGCTCAAAGAAACTTTCTTGATATTTTTATCAAAGTTCATATGTTGATGCATACTGATGTAAACTATCCAATTGCAGCAATATGTTTTGACCTTGACTTTTCCTTTGACTTTCACTTAACTTTTCTTTAATTTAGTGTTAAGCTTTATTTTAAAGAAACCATTCAAGTTCTGTAATGAAACTTCATATGATGATACACAGATCTACTGATGTAAGCTTTACAATGCTTCACTCTTCTTTACTA